AACAAGCAAGTTGCTTGCCCAAGAGACATCAAGGCAAGTAGTCGGGTCCCCTCAGGGCAAACCTCCTTCCAAGACTAAGACTCAGTGGGAATACATGCTCTGATTGGTGACCACATTCGTCACCAATAAGGGGAAGTGAGGGAAAAACAGAAATGAAGCTGCAAGCTAAGCCCTACAATGTTCAATAGACTCCGGTGAACCCGGGTGGATATGTGGTTGGTCAGCAGTGTGTCAAGACCCGGGGACTCTTGGGCCCAGAGTCAGAGACATAGCCACAAAGGACTAGAGTGGAGAGTGAAGCGTCCAGCTGATAAGAAGACGGGGCTTATGCATACATAAGAACACCCACACTTGCAGATAATACCCACTTGACCTGGCTTCAATGACTGGATGATTAGAACTCAACTAGAAGAAAAAAGAAGAGGAAAAAAGAGTAATCTGATGCAATTGATGAATTTGACCTACACCTGTGGAGGCAGTATCTCAAAAGAGGGAACAAATCTTTACAGCAAGGATCATTCCCATCCCCCCTCCATACACAGAGTAGACAGGGATGGGCAACTTGGACATTGGCTACCCAAAATGGGGGCGGGGCTACAAAGGTAAGAAGTGACTGGCTTACAAGCTTTTATGAGGGAACCAAGATCCAGAGGGCATGGAGGAAGGTAGAATCTCCACTGAGTAGTATCCAATCTGTCTGGGCGGGGCTGACGAAAGGAGATGTGGAAAGGTCTCTTGTGATACAATAGTGAATAATTGTTACCAGGACTGACTGTGACGATTGGAAATATAAAGATAGATGCATTGTAGCAAAAGGAGGGGAGTGACTGACTTTGCAGTCTAGGAGTGGAGGTCGCTGGGACCATCAAGGGAGAAGAGCAGAGAGTAGGACCCTACCCAGAGAAGCGGTGACACCAGAGATGGAGGCAGGGACGATGATGTGGAGAGATGGAGCAGCTGGGGACTCTAGACCCAGAGAGGGAGAGGGGCTGTTTGCTGACAAACAGGGGACAGGCTTACAGGGTATACCCTTTGGTTGGCTGATGATGCATGGAAGGGATTGTAACCATGGCAATGAAACGATATACGATAGGATGAATGAAAGGCTAATGTTCTCCCATGTAAACTATCACATAATTCACAATAAAACATTTAAAAAAAATTTTTTTAAACTCCAGTCATAAGACTGTGAGCCAATATCTGTGAAATAGTCAGGTTAGTTTCAGGTCAGAGAGAACTATAAACATACAGCTACGTAAATGCAGACAGAGACTCAGTGCTATCAAGTCAGTTCCGTCTCATGGTGACCCTATCTAGGGTGTTCGAGGCTGTAAAGCCTCATCTTTCTCCACGGGACAGCTGGTGGGTTTGAACTGCTGACTTAGTGTTTGTATACAAACAAACACACAGAGATTGAGCAAGTGAGAGAGGGAGTGAGGTCCTCCGAGTTCAGAGTAATGGTGTGTGCATCTTGGACGTATATAAAAAATCCACAAGAAGGCTTCAAAAAGTTAGTGGGAAAATGGAAGAAAAAGATACTTGAAATTTTCATAAAGTTGCTAAAGTCCCCTAGTGTGCGTGTATGTGCGTGGAGAAGGACAGCAAAGCGGAGGGTCAAAGTGAAAAAAGAGGACGACCTCCAATAAGATGGGTCGGCAGCGTGGCTCCAATGGGCTCAAATGTTAACAATTGTGAGGCGGGTGCAGGACCGGGCGGTGTTTCGTTCCGTGGTGCATCTGGTTGCTATGAGTTGGAACTGACTCGATGGTACCTAGCAGCCCCCCCACTATGTATTTAGAGAGAGAGCACCCACCTATGATGAAGAGAATTCTCCCCTCATCTGTAATACAGTGACCAAGTGCTATCATTATTGCTCTACAAAGAAACAGATCTAAATATGGAAAAGCTTTACCTTTCCTGACGACTTGCATTTGGGAAAATATACTGAATTTCTCTTTGAAGACGGTCTATTTCTAGGTTTTCTATCCAGTCTTTCAACTTAATTTCCAAAAAGTAACCTTTTCCAAATTTGCTCTTTAGATGTTGAACTGTCCCAATACATCTGCAATAAGTTTTAAAAGGAAAGCTCAGATAGAAATTGGCAGTTTCAAAGAATGACTTCTCGCTTATATCGCTATGGGTTTTTAAAGGAATTTTTCAATTCTGGAATGATTTTCGAGTTACAGAAAGTTGGCAAAGAGAATATCCCAAATACCCAACAGACTCACTCAGCTGGTTGTCCTACTGTTACACGATCGTGGCACACTTACACAATTAAGAAAACAACACTGGCACACTGCTGGGCACTGAAGTCCAGGTTTGGATTGGACGTCACTGCTTTCCTGTCATGTCCTCTGTCTGCTCCGAGGGCCCACAGTGCACTCAGCTCTTGTGTGTCCTTCATCTTCCTCTGTGACAACAGCTGACTCCTCATTTGCTTACACCACTTTGGAGTGGTGAGGAATAGTCCCTCAGCTTGGATTACTGTGACATTTTCCACATAATTAGACTGGGGTGAAGGTCTCAGGGAGGATACCACAGAACTGAAAGCCCTTCTCATCCCACTGTACGTGATGAGTCACAGAGGCTATGAGACTGGCACAGAAGAGGAGTCACACTTTCCTGCACACTACTCTTTAGCAACAACTCTCTCAATCCAGTCCATGCTTGGAGTTCCGTGCAGAAGGCCCCCTCCTAGGTGGCGGTATGTCTTCTATACTACTGAGAATCCTTCTGTAAGAAAGAGCTGCTTCTTCACACCCACTTTCTCAGTAAATTTATTTTTATGTGAACGCATGTATTTGCGTTTTATATTTCCCATTATTTTTCAATAATATGTCTAACATAATACTTAAAATCACAAGTCAATCCTGAAAAGAACATTCCAAAGTGTTTTAACTGAAAGCCAATTCCAAATACAAAGTAGCCAGCCATATACTAGAAACTACTAACATAGTTCCCAAGTCATTCTATGGCAAACCTAGAGACTGATTCTGAAACTCACATAAGGAAACATTTTTTAAAAACATTGAAGTCAGTATGTATTCTGACTACTATTAAGTTTTTGAAATGATGGCATTCTAAAGCTAACCAATCACCTTCCCCAAAATGGCATGGTACGTAGACACCCACCTCAGCTGCCCCGACACCATAATAGCAACGCGGTCACAGACCGCTTCCGCCTCCTCCATGTAATGAGTGGTCAGAATAGCTGCTCGCTTTTTGTTTTTAAATGCAGTTCGAATTGCTCGCCTAAAAAATAAATAAAGAGAGGAGAGTATCTACATATTAATAATGTCTGGGTTTTTCAAAATCCAACTTCTTGGTTGATTTGGTAACTTAGAATTTATCAAATCTCAATTGCCATGACAATATCATCCTGACCAGCTGTCATTTTTATATTCTAATTTACATACTGTGATTTTTTAAAGTTTATCAAATGGAAAGAAATTTCATGATTTTAAATGTCTCTATAAGGGTTTTCTGCTTCCGCAAAGATTTCAAGCCTCTGAAACCCTACACAGGGTCACTATGAATCAGAACCAACTCGATGACACTTAACAACAGCAATATGGATTAAAAGTAAGTGCCTTCAAGTGCTCTTTGCATTCTGCACACAAGGCTATAAAGTACTTACTGATGAAGACCAAAGAATACCGATCAACACGAAGAAAACAAAAATCCTCACAAATGGACTATAATAAACTTAATCCTTCTCCATAATAAATGGAGAAAAGATTTAAGTTGTCAAGGATTCCACTGTACCTGGGCTCACAGTCAACACTATGAAAGCAGCAGTCAAGAACGCAAACAATTTATCGCACTGGGTAAATCTGCTATAAAAGGCTTCTTTAAGGCATTAAAAAGCAAAGATGTCACCCTGAGGATTAAGGTGCATCCAAGCCGTGGTATTTTTAGTTTTCCTTATATGCAGACAAAAGCTGGACAGTAATTAAGGAAGAAAGAAAAACGGAAGCCTTTTAATGATGCTGTTGGTGAGGGATACTGAATAATGTCATGGACTGTGAGAAAAATGAACAAATCTGCCTTGAAATATATACAGACAGACGCTCCTTAAAAGCAAAGATGAGGAGATTCGTTTCACATACTTTATACATATTGTCAGGAGGGACCAGTTCCTGGAGAAGGACATCATGTTTGATAAAGCAGAGGGTCAGTGAAAAAAACAGAAGACCCAAAACAAGATGGACTGACACTGTGGTGCCATCAATGGGCTCAAGCACAGTAACAACTGTGAGGACGGCGCAGGAACCGGTAGGGTTTTGTTCTGTTGTACACAGGGTCCCTGAGTCAGAACCAATGCAAGAGAATTAACAACATGGGCTCAAAGTATGCTAACCAAGAAATTATAAAACTTTTACTGTAACAAAAATAGTCGTATAATCATACAGTAAGGCTGACGGAAGCCTTAGCATTTATCAGAGCAAAGACTTACATGGAGGCCCAAAGAGTTGGTCAGCTATTTAGTGCTCTGAATTACCAGAAACCATTTCAGAGTAAATTCAAGAAAACATTGTTACGAGAAACATATGCTATTACAGGGTGTTGTTGGATGCCATCGAGTTGGTTCCTACTCATCGTGACCTTTTATACAATAGAACAAAAGGGAGCCTTCGGCCATCTTCACAATTGTTAGTTCTCTGTTTTAATAATTACCCACATAACTAGTTTGTTTCAGAATATATAAATATTAACACTTCTTATAAACCATGATAAATAAAATTTAAAGGAATCGCTACTATTTTATCATCTGTATAGAATTTTGAAGCAATGTATCTATACAGCTAATGAAACAATCCCTGTAATCTACATGTAATGTGTCCCAGACTCCTACAATGGCATACTCACCACATGTGCTGTTTGGCTTTAGGGTCCATACCTGTAGAAGGTTCATCTAGCAGGGTAACCTGGGGATTTCCGAGCATACTTAGAGCAAAACACAACTAGATGGAAAGAAAGTGGGGGAGAGAGGAGACACAGGTGAGGTTTCACAATAATTCTATCAAGATACTATCAGAGGAGAAAATACCCAAAGATATACATGCATAAAAGGGGAGAGTGGTTGGTCTTGCAATCCAGGAGCGGAGGACCCTGGGACCATCAAGGGAGAGGAGCACAGTGTGGGACCCTATTCAGAGAAGCAGCCACACCAGAGATGGAGGCAGAGATGACGACGTGGAGAGATGGAGCAGCTGGGGACTCTAGATCCAAGGAGGGAGAGAGGTTGTGTGCTGGCAGCCAGGGGGCAGACTTGCAGGGTATGCCCTTTGGTTGTGTGAATGACTGTATATTCCTGAGTGTTTTGGTGGTGGTTATGTGCCATGGAGTCGGTTCCGACTCACAGCGACCCTGCACAGGGTTTCCAAGGCTGTAAATCTTTACGGGAGCAGAAAGCCTCATCTTTGTTCCGCAGAACAGCTGGTAGTTTTGAACTGCTGACCTTGCAGTTAGCAGTCAATTCATAACCACTAAGCTACCAGAGCTCCTTGAGTGTTTTACCTCAAAAAACAAAAACAAAACAAAAAAACACAGAGGGAATAGAAGCAAATACTGTTGAATGATGATGCCTGGAGAGGATTGTAATCATTGCAATGAAACGAAATACGACAGGATGAGTGTAAGTAAAACTGATGTTCTCCCCGTGTAAACTACTACTCAACTCATAATAAAAACTTAAAGCAAACAAAAAAGACATGCATGCATTCCTTATTCAATGAGCATACCTTTCGCTTGATTCCTGCAGGTAGTTTCTTTATAGTCTTCTGAAGATGCTCTTTTAAATCAAGCACATTTGAAATTCTGTGAAATGGATAACGTGCAATGAGGATCCTACAGCACATAAATCGCTCCTGATCACTGATGTAGTTTTCTCTACGGTTATGCAGTGAAATCTTACCAAACTCGGGATGCTCCCACTTATATGATTTTAACAAATTAAAATCCCCAAAATACATGCTTCATTTGAAATTCAAATAAATGAGACACCTACAAGTACATTCATTCTGTAATTACAAACAGAAGTCAGCTGCCTTTTCTTTTTATAGCGATCATAATTTTGTAAAGACTGCATAAAAAGCATGTTGACCACTTCTTGTTGTGAAGTGCCGTTGAGTCGGTTCCGACCCATAGCGATCCTGTATAGGGTTTCCAAGGAGCAGCTGGTGAGCTTGAACTGCCAACCTTGCAGTTCAAACGGCTCTGAAGTCTGGCGCATTAACCCACAGCGCCACACCAGGACCAGAGTCAATGAAAATTAGGATCCCTGGAGACATTCAGTACGCATCTTTTACATGGCAATTGTAACACTTTGTAGAGACGTTTTTTTCACCTGCTGATGACTTCTTTCATATCATTTGCACTCATTCCCTTCACAGCTCCGTAAATCTCAAAATGCTCCTGCAGTGTACTGTCCGGCCAGAGTGGGTTCAACTGGGGACAGTACCCCAGGTACTTGGTGCAGTCATCGCCTTCGGTCGGCTCGGAAGTGTAGCCACCTAGAAAGATCTACAGAAACACAGAGCTCTTTGCAGTAGCTGATAGTATTCATTGACTTTTGTAAAGAAAATGATGAAGGGAGCATGTCAATTCCTTTCTGAGATCCAGTGTATGACCGAGTCAGACTTGTCTTTTTTTTAAGGAAGCAAATAGTTACATCAGAGTTCAATGACACTCCCAAAGGTGTGATCAGGAAGACAGGGGGAGGGAGAAGGGACGGAAAGCCACCACTTTAAACAGAAGGGGCGGGGCCTCACTGGGAGGTGATAATTAAATAGAAGGGGCGGGGCCTCACTGGGAGGTGGTATTTAAAAAGAAGGGGTGGGGCCTCACTGGGAGGTGATATTTAAATAGAAGGGGTGGGGCCTCACTGGAAGGTGGTATTTAAATCGATGGGGCGGGGCTTCACTGGGAGGTGATATTTAAATAATGGGCGGGGCCTCACTGGGAGGTGGTATTTAAAAAGAAGGGGTGGGGCCTCACTGGGAGGTGATATTTAAATAGAAGGGGCGGGGCCTTAATGGGAGGCGATACTTGAGCCAAGGAAATAAGTGAATTTAGTCACTGGTTTCTTCTGGAGGTTAGGTTAAGCCATGAGTGAAAATACCTAGAGCAAAGACCCACGCGAGTGTGCCTGGCATTCTCCAGGCAGGCACTGAGGCAGTATGGACGGCGGGAAGTAAGCAGGGGGAGAGAAGAGATGGGGTCGTCCATATCAGGTGAGGAGTGGTATGCTTAGAGTAAAGACTAATCGAGGGCAGGTCAAGGCTAGCTCTCCCAACTCCTTCTGAAGTAAAGACTGATCAAGGCCACAGTCAAGGCTAGCTCTCCTAACTCCTACAGTTGAGACAACTTTCCTATGGTTGACAGTTCACACACTGGAAGATTAAGCTAAACCTATTATCCTCGAGTTGAGGCTAACTCATAGTGACCCTCTCAGACAAGTAGAATGGCTCCACAGAATTTCCAAGGCTGAACAATCTTTATGGAAGCAGACGGCCACCTTTCTCCCAGAGCTGACCTTTCAGTCACTCAGCCACTGTAGCACCAGAACTCTTACATTACCCACACATGCAATAATTATAAAACCAAAAATACTGGATGTGTCCATATGTGAGTGTGGTGGTGTTGTTGTTAAGTGCCATTGAGAAGGTTCTGAGTCACAGCGACCACTATAGGGTTCCCAAGGAGTAACTGGTGAGCTTGAACCGCTGACCTTGTGGTTCAAACCGACTTTGCAGTCCAGCACATTAACCCACAGCACCACACCAGGACTCCATGTAAGTGTATGCATGTGTGTGTATATGAAAATTTTACTGTGTATATTATTTCCACAGATAACCAAAAAGATTATACCTTGAACAGCTTATACTAAAAAAATTAATACTCAAAGCAGATATAACATTTGAGCAACAGAATTCGAACTAAGCATTAGGAAATTTGTTTTAATAAAATTAATTTAGTAAACTATGTAAACTGCACTGAGTATATTTCACATCATTGCATAACGTACCTGGCCTGAACTTGGTTCAATGTCACCAACCAGAATGTTAATAATTGTGCTTTTGCCTGCACCATTTGGGCCCAAGAGTCCCAGGATCTCACCTAAAAGAGTTACAAGAAAAAAATCATCATACATAAGTCAAACTGAAAATGGAAATTACTGTTCTGAGAAAGGGATTTAAGAAAAACTAAGTAAATACCAGCCTTTTTTCACACAGAAAGAGACATATTTAGTTGCCACTTTCTTTATTTTTCTTGTAAGAAAGTCTTTCTTGTCGTCATATTCTTTATGCAAATTGCAGACCATAATAGCTGGTTTCTAGTAAGAAGGGAAACAGGATGTAAAAAGAATCATAAGTCCTCTACTTAACATGAAATGACAGGCTGTACATAGCTCACACCCCTATCTTAAGAATTCTATTAGCTATAGGCAATATTGCACAAATCAGTATCTATGGCTGCAATGATGGCTTTCCAAAACTAAGAAGACAAAAATATTGTTTCAATGAAACAAGATGTTACTGCTACGTAAATGAATCATGTGAGAGAACAATACTCATATTCCGATTAATGCCTACATTGGCTCGGCCACAAAGGCTCCATTACCTCCTCACAGCACGGGCAGGTCATCAGTTCCCTGACCTTCAGTCTTTCAGCTTTGACATCTTCATCTTCGTCTTCATTGTTTGGTGGCTCTGGAGACTTTCTATTTTTGGGCTTTGTTGAGAAGGTCCTAAATATATGTCAATTTTCAAATAATTAAAATACTGAGAAGCTCAGGCGTCACATAGAAAAAAGACTTAAAAAAACAAATATCAACCCAAGTTCTGTGGTTACCTCTGAAAGGTGAAATTACAAGTGATGCTTTTAGTTTACTGATAATTGTTTCTCAGTGAATATTTGCATCATAAATTGATGAACAGATTATCTAAATTCGTAAAATGTGGCAGAAAATCCACACAAAGAATGAACATGACTTGGGAATAACAAAAAACTGAAATACCGCTATATGCTACAACACGGAGGCAGCGTTAAAACATGCTAGACCACCGCTCATCTGTCATTTGTTGTACTAGCTTGTATGTTGCAGTATTGCTGCAGGTATTTTAATTACCAGCAGGGTCACCCATGGTGGACAGGCTGCACCAGAGCTTCCAGACGAAGACAGACTAGGAAGAAGGCGAGGCAGATTACGTCTGAATGGTAACTGCTGTGTGGTTGTTAAGTGCCATCGAGTTGGTCTTGACTTATAGTGACCCTGTATAGGGATTTGGAGGAGCAGCTGGAGGGTTTGAACCACCAACTTTGCCATTAGCAGTCCAGGGCTTATCCTACAGCACCACAGCAGGCGTCTGAATGGTTAGCCACTGCAAACCTTGTGAATAGCAGTAGAACGTAGTTAAGACATAGTACCAGAAGATAAAAACACTAAGAAGAGCAGCAGTCAGATACAGTGCCAGAAGATGCGTGGCTCAGACAGGAAAGCACTCAAAATATGACTGGACAAGAGCGGCCTCCTCAAAGTGGACTTGACCACCATAATGGGAATGGGAGAAAGTTTGGGGGAATTTCATTTGCTGATGAGTCACAGCTAAAAATAAGAAGAAATAGTTGCAAACATCAATTAATAACTGGAAAAGGATGACTCTTGGAAATTTTGGAAATTGTCAAAAGTGAAATGGAATGCATAAAGATTGATATCCTAGGCCATTGTGAATCAGAAAATCATAAGGTTTACAATGTCGAGAATGAAAAATTGAAGAGGAATGGTGTGGTAGTCATAGTCAAAAAACAACATTTCAAGAGCTATTGTAAAGCACAATGTTGTCTGTGTAGGAAAATATTCATAGGCCTACAAAGAAGATCAGTTAATAGCGCTATTATTCAAATTTATGTAACAATCATTAAAGTCAATGATGACATTGAAGAACTTTACCAACTTCTTCAGTGTGAAATTAATCAAATATGCATTGATAATTACTGGTGACTGAAAAGTGAAGGCTAGGAACAAAGAAAAGATCAGCAGTTGGAAATAATAGAGATGATGCTGGAGATCACATGATAGAATTCATTGCAAATACCTTTTTTAAACAATATAAAAGGTGACTACATACATGGACTCGCCAGATGGAATACATGGAAATAAAACTGATTCCATCTGTGGGAAGAGACAGTAGAAAAGCTCGATATAATCTACCAAAACAAGACCAGCAGCAGACTGGAACAACACGTCAATTGTTCATATGCAAGTTCAGGCTACAGATGAATTAAGCTAAAAAAAAGTCTACTGAAGTCAAAATATGACCTTGAATAGATCTCATCTGAATTTAGAGACCAATACAACAACAAATTTGATACACTAGATACTAATGATCAGAGAGTTGTGAGATGACATCAAGAAAGCAAAAAGTCATTATAGGAAAGGAAGAAAAGACCAAAATGAACGTCAGAAGAGAGTCTTAAACCTGTGTTACACATATGATACAGCCTTGTTTGCTGAAAGCCAAGAGGACTTAAAATGCTTACTGAGGAAGATCAAAGACTACAGCTTTCAAAATGGATTGCACCTCAATGTAAAGGAAACAAAAATCTGCACAACTGGACCAGTAAACAACATCATGGTAAATGGAGGAAAGACTGAAGCTATCAAAGACTCCATTTTACTTGGATCCACAATCAACACACATGGAAGCAGCAGTCAAGAAATCAAACGACATATTGCATTGGGGCAAATGTGCTGCACAAGACCTTTTTAAAGTGTTGAAGAGCAAAGATGTCAGCTTGAAGACTAACTAAGGTGCGCCTGACTCAAGCCATGATATTTTCAATCATTTCATATGCATGTGAAACTTGGACAATGAATAAGGAAGACTGGAAGCAATATCAATATATTTGAATTATGGTGTCGGAGAAGAATATTAAAAGTACCATAGCTTCCAGAACAAACAAATGTGTCTTGGAAGAAGTACAGCCACAATGTTCCTTAGAAGCCAGGAAGACAAGACTTTGTCTCTCATACTTTGGACATGTTATCAGAAGGTACCCGTCCCTAGAGAACAACATTATGCTTGGTAAGGTGGATGGCCAGCAAAAAAAGAGGAAGCCCCTCCAATGAGATGGCTTGACACATTAGCAGAAGCAATGGGCTCAAACACAGCAACAATTGTGAGGATGGCACAGAGCAGGGCAATGACTATGCTGTTATTGTTAGGGCCTGACTCCACAGTGAGAGAAGCTAGGCGAAAATAGACTCCATATTGTCTGACACCATTGATATGAAATGTCTAGAATACGTAAACCTACAGAGCCCACAAGCAGATTAGTGGCCCCGGGGGTTGGGAAAGCGACTCCTAATAGATGAGAAGCTTCTTTTAGGGTCAACAGAAAGGTCTAAATTATATTAGGATGATGGCCGCAGAGTTCTGTAAATAAACTAGAAAATGTTGAAATTGAAAAAAAATTACACTGACCTGAAAAAGGGATCCTTTCTTATGGACCTGCCTCCATACTTTCGCTCATAGTATTGTAAGAGGAAAATCCACAGTACACACTGCAAGTACGGCTGAAACAAGAATACAGAACAGCTTAGGGTCCGGCTGGGGGTTTGTCATTTTATTCTCCTATGTCAAGAGGACCAAGACCATACCCATCTGGTTCCTTGCCATCACCAAAAAAATTAGCAGCAATTTTTTATTCAAACTAAGTTATTATTGAGCCCTGGTGTGGTGCTGTAGGATAAGCACTGGACTGGTAACCACAAGGTTGGCAGCTCAAACCACCAGCTGGCTCACAGAAACCTTATACAGAGTGGCTATGAGTCAGAACCGATTTGATGGCACACAACAATAAGAAGTTATTCTTTTTAGTAAAAGAGTCCTTGACATAGTTTTCTGCCACTGTAAAGTACAGTTGCTGTCAGTTTCATAAAATGTATGAAAAAAATTAAAAGCTTTGGTTTTGCTTATTAGGATGCCAGATCTTCAAGTGAACACCTTCAGTAAATTATAGGTTGTTGTTGTTGTTGTTGTTAAGTGCCGTTGAGTCCATTCTGACTAATAGCGACCCTGTATTGGGTTTCTGAGGAGTGGGTTTGAACCAACTACTTGGCAGCTTAGCAGTCCAGTGCTTATCCTATAGTGCCACACCAGTACTCCCATGAAAGGTATTAACCACTAAAAGGCAGTCTGTTCAGCTAGCATCAACTTTAACACTTGACTTTCTATGTAATCTTAGTTTTTTATGCAACAGAACAGAACCTTAAAAGATAGTTAGAACCATATAATCAAGCAATTCCTAAGGGAACATCTGAACACACACACACACACAAAACTCCACCTTTTATTTTTATTTCTTACCGATACAGCAGCCACCAAAAGTCTATCCCATGAATTATAAATGTCATCATTTTTTTGGTTATTCTTCCAAGAAATCTAAGACAAAAAATTTTAGAATATTTACATGTTACAACCTAGAGAAACAAATATAGTAAAATAAAAAATAAAAAATACATTTTGTTCCACAAAAATGTATTGTTTATATAAAAAAAAAAAAATAGCCATCAAGATCAGTAGCTATGTTTTGTACTTAGATTAAAATAATCTTCCTTGCCCCAATAATTCCCATCAGGGTAGATATAAATTCAACATAGTAAACTGAAGCAATAAAGAAAAGGGCAAGAAGGTTAGTGAGTGGGATTCTCCAGCAATTTTCCTAATTCAAGAAGTCATCACTAATCACATGGAAAATAGTTCCAAGTATCTTAGTGGAAAACAACTCAGCTGCTCTTCCTTTTTTCTTGGAAACACTCTGTTATGTTTCCTTTACTCGCATCTCTTTTATAGTGCACTGTGCTATGTTGTCCTTGAAAAATTCCACCCAAGTAAAAACTGTATTGCTACAAATGGAAGCTGACTCAACAGCACCCAAGAACAATGACAATGAATTCAGTTTTGGCATCAGAGTACATGCAACAGACATAATCCTTCTCCTTTGAGAATTAATAGTGTAAAGATGTGTTTGTAAAGATCCCAAGGTAATTTTCAAGTGTAGTAATCATATCTAAATCAGGTTGTCGTTGTTGTTAAGTGCCATTGAGTCGGTTCTGACTCACAGCAACCCCATATGGGGTTTCCAAGGAGTGAGTGATGAGTTTGAACAACCACCCTTGTGGTTTGCAGTCCAATGCTTATCCTATAGTGCCACACAAGTAATTTGATGATTTCAACTTGTTTCAGTACAAGAGCAAGAAAAATCTCAAAGATACTTTTAAAATATTAAAATACCTACCTTTATAAAAGAAATCAGGCAACCTAGAAGTGGATAGATTGGAATGACGATGCAAAAAGTATAATGAAGAATAGTTGAAGCCAAGTAACCCATAAGGAAAGCTATTTCGGTGATTACAATGCAAACCAAGGCTGTCTAAAGAAGAAAAAGAAGAAAAAAAAAAAGATGAAAAAGACTTCAGAAATTTCATCAAACTTACTACAGACTTGGACCCTAGGTTTTAATTATCTTGTCAACCTGCTAATAAAGCAGGGAACCAAACGTGACATTTAGCTAGATGTGTCAGTTGGCTGGTATCAGTTGTTTATAACTAGCTAGTATCCCGCAAGGAGTCCTGGTGGGGTAATGGGTAAGTGTCGGGCTGCTAACCAAAAGGTTGGTGGTACGAGTCCACCAGTTCCACGGGAGAAAAGACTCAGCGATCTGTTCCCTTGAAGAACGCTGTTGTGTACCATCAAGTCAAATTCAACTCACAGGGACCCTGTAAGGACAAAGTCAACTGGCCCATTGAGATTAGCATCCAGTTAACCCTATGGGGCAGTTCTACTGTCATACAGGGGCCCTATGAGTCAGAATCTAGTAGACAACACAAACAAAACCAGCGTATTTGCCACACTAGTTGTTAAATACTTTTAATATTACCCCTTCATAGAACGGATGATAAAAAGATAAGCATATAAGCAATGCTAACAGTTGTCTATCTGAATTCTGCGTTTATAAAACACATACGATATTGAATTGACTCATGAAAGAGTTAATGACTTTCAACTAAACTCCTAGGAATAGTTGAACTAATATAAAATGTGACTTACCACAGAATAGATAAATGACCAAAATTCCTTGGTATTTAAGATTTTCTTAAAGGTGAAAGACGCAATATAGGTAAACAGAATAACGGATGGAACATAAGCTATCAGGCAAAAGATCTGTAAAACAAAAATGTATACGTTTCATGTAAAAATATGACCAGAATACACTACATTCACAGGAAAATATTCAGTGATAATTATTCTTCAAATTTAATTGCTCAACAAATCATTCCCAAGGCAGAAATCGTGACTATCTGAGAACCTACTTCCATTTCTCTTATATCAATAAAAACTATGCTTCTGATGTATTGTTAATACAACCTTGAATAAGCGGTTTAAAGTGAACACTTATTTGTAGTTCTTCTTATGTAAGCAAGTAAATTGTTCTTATAGTATTACAGAAAGCAGGTATCCTATGTTGGTTACAGATTTCTCTGTCTTAATCAACTTTTAGCTACCAAAGAACCAAGTCCACCACCTCTGAGTCAACTGTAACTCACTCATGGCGACCTTATTTAGGGTTCTGGGACTGTAAATCTTCATGGGAGAAGACAGCTTCATCTTTCTCCTTCGGAGCTGCTGGTGAGTTTGAACTGCTGACCTTATGGCTAACAGCCCAACAACACCTAGCCCACACCACCACCAGGGTTCCTTTTTTAAAGTTACAGCATTTAGTATATTTTATAAAGTTATAAGAAAAAGATTCAGTAATCTGTAAGGCCGAAATTAATAATATAAAGTCATTATATCTCTTGCAAAAATTGCTACGTTGACTTTCCGTAACCCCAACCTGACCTAGCTTTGTTTACTACTTGTCCTAACAAAAATCAGTCATCTGCGAGGTTCTGTTATAAGTCACTTACATCCCTGGAAAAGGAGGTCGTGCTTGGTAAAATGGAGGGCTGGTGAAAAAGAGGAAGACCCTCAACGGGATGGACTAACACTGTGGCTGCAACAAAGAGTTCAAATCTGACAACCATGAGGATGTGAGGACCCCGCAGGCTTTCGTTCTGCTTACGTGGGGTCACCGGGAGTCGAAACCGACATATGTGCACATGGCATTTCAAGACATATTTTAAATTATGGAGTTAAAGGTTTTCTTCTTTTATTACATTATTCTCTGCCATAAGAACTGTTTAAGTGTTCCTGATGACACACAGGAAAGACCACCTCAGTGTCAAGGAATTCTTAACAATGGTATATTTTTATATGTTATAAAAATAAATTGCTGTTTTAGAAAATCACTTAAGAGTAACATAAGTGGCTGATAAGGATAATATCCATTAATTAACTAGACACTGCTTCGAGTCTTTTTAAAAAATTAATATTCAAATTACTCAGCTAACCAGCTGTCATGCTTATAAATAAAGGTTTTTTTGTTTTGTTTTGTTTTTTCACTACTAGCATGAGTACTCTGATGTCAGCTTACCACAGACAGGAACTTCACAGCATAAAAATATAGTCCATAATGGAATGCAAATAAGCTTCCCAGCATCAAAGTAAGGACAATAAAAAAGAAGGGGATGTCAACGATAGCTTGTCCAATCCAATATGCCGATGGAAAAAGGCCAGAAAGTTTAAGCTGCGTGTACGCTCTGATCTGAAAAAACAGAAAAAGGAACAAAAAATATCCTTTTGAACATTTTACAAGCAAAAGCAACCTCCAGAAAATTATTTGAGAGACAATTTTACATCAACCAAACAAAAAAGGTCTCGTTTTGATTCTGCCTGTAATACACTTACACATCACAGTTCAAACACATTCCACATTCCATGTAATTTGACCTTTACTTGGGCTCATGATTTCTGAGCTATAATAGTTTCAACAACTCTTTACCGATCAGTATAAGGCCATGCTGCTAAGAAACAGGGAGCAAAAATAAAGCTAAGGGTTTCATGAGTATGAGGGCTGTGCAAACAGTAACCCTAAAATGAGGTTACCAAGAAGAAATGTTTTAAATGGGAAAAGGATTCTAAATTTTTATAATTAACCTTTCCTGAGAACACTAGTAGATGCCAAGCACATGGTATTGTTGTTGTTGTTGTTATGTGCCATGGGGTCGGCTCCGACTCACAGCAACCCTGTATAGGTTTTCCGAGGCTGTAAATCTTTATGGGAGCAGACAGCCTCCTCTTTCTCCCACGAAACAGCTGGTAGTGACCTTGAGGTTAGCAGCCCAACTGGTAACCACCATGCTACCAGAGCTCCTTAATACTCAAGATTGCTGTTGTTGTGAAGTGCCATCGAGTTGGTTCCAACCCACAGCGACCCCGTATACGGTTTCCAAGGAGCAGCTGCTGAACTTAAACTGCTGACCTTGCAGTTCAAACAGCTTTGCAGTCTGGCACATTAACCCACAGTGCCACACCAGGACTCCAATACTCAAGGTAGGCATACTTTATTTAATAAGAGAGGCTATTTTTTTATTCAAAGAAGAGTTCAGGGAATGCCAAGCATATACTGGATTTAAATAGGGCTTTTAGCTGAAATACGAAACTAGGAACTCCTGGTGCATTTGAAAGCATTTTATACACTCTTGTGTTGTACAATATAAGCTGTTATTATGACCTCAGGGAAACTGACAGTAAACATAAATGATCTTGTTATTGTGGTTGCTAAGTGTTGTTGAGCCAGTTCCAACACACAGTGACCCTGTATAGGCCTTCTGAAACTTGCAAATCTTCACGGAAGAAGAAAGCCTCAGGTTCTCCTGTTGGAGCAGCTGGTGGGCTTGAACGTTAGACCTTGTGTTTAGAGTCCAGTGTTTATCCTACAGAGCCCCAGCAGTACCCTCCATGATCTTGGTTTTCCTAAATAATGTAGGCTCGTATTATTTGAAACTTTAAAGGATCTATTTTAAATATCTAACTCAGCTAGTTTTCGAAGATAGGATAAACTTTCATCTGTAAAATATCCATCCCTAGTAATATTTTGGAGTCCTGGTGTGGCAGTGTAGGGTAACCACTGGACTGCTCATCAGTAAGTTGGTGGTTCAAACTCAGCTGCCACTCCTCAGAAACCCTCTATAGGGTCACTATGAGTCAGAACCGACTCGACAGCACTCAACCGCCACCACCACGGAATACACAGCCACCCAACAATCCAGCACTTCTATATTCTCTTGGGCGTTGATTCTAGAATAGTGAAAATTTTATGTTCATACAAAAATCTGTACATGAATATTCATAACAATTTATTCATGACAGTAAATTACTGGATACATCCCAGATGTCTTTCAAAGGATGAACTGTTTAACAAACTGTGATTCATCCATGTCATGGGACTACAGAGCAATAAAGGGGAACGGACTGGTCAGGGTTCAATTCTATAATATGTTAAAACCAAAACTTCTACAACTTAACCAAAATTACCAAACAACCCAATCAAAAAATGGGTGAAGAACTTGAATAAACATTTCACCAAAGAGGATCTACAAATGGCCAAAATGTACGCCAAAAGATGCTCAACCTTATTAGCCATTGTTGCGGTATTGTGCCATTGAGTTAGTTCTGCTTCATAGCAACCCTGTACAAAGTTTCCAAGGAGCAGCTGGTGGATTTGAACCACCAATCTTCCAGTTAGCAGTCCAGTGCTTATCTTACAGCACCACATCAGGACTTCTATTAGTTCTTGTGGTTGTTGTTGAGTGCTGTTGAGTCGGTTCCAACTCACAACGACCCTGTCCAGGGTTTCTGAAAAGCAGCTGGTGGGTGTGAACCGCTGAATAGGCAGTACAGTGCTTATTTTACTGCACCACGTCAGGAGATGCAAATCATGATCACAATAAGCTACCACTTTCTGGTTACAATAAGGGAAAAAGAGGAAACTAGGAAGTGTCAGTTAAGGTAGAAGAAATTGGAGCCCTCACCCAGTGTGGGGGAAAATACAAAACACTGCTGCAGAAAAGCATGACCTTCCTCAAAAAGTCAAACAGAGATCATTCAAGGATAAGGCAAAGAATACTGCTGCAAATTCACAGCCACCTTTATTAAATAAAAATAACAAAACATAGTCATTGTTTCTCAATATATCCTCTCATCTAGGTCTATCTACTTCTGAAGGAAGTATTTCCATCTCTCTTAGCCTCCCACAAAGAATTCTGCTCTCTTCAACTCACATAGTGTCAAAACAACAGTACTGGCATCTTGAAAGAACTCAAATCGTGTTCCTTTTAAACGTTCTTTGAGTTCGGGAAACCAAAAGGAAGTCTGAAGGGGCAAGACCAAGGTTGTAGGTCAATGGAGTAAAGTTTCCCATCGAAAGTCTCATAGGACAGGTAGAGGGTAGACACAAATTAACACAAAATCATGGGGAAGGTCATATACACGAGGGAGATTAGCACAGGAAAGATTAACGTAGTAGAAGACACAAGAGTTGCAATGAATAGAGGGAAATACTGTTAACTGGCGGTACATGGAAAGATTGCAATCATTGTAATGACATGAAGTGTACGATTTTTTGAATGTGGGACTGAAGATCTGTAAATGTTCACTCAATTCACACTAAAAAGTCTTAAAAAAAGAAAGTCTCATAGGACAGCCCTGGTTACCACTGGAAGATGAGCAAGTGTATTGCTGTGATGGGAAAAATTTCTTGGCACAAATGTCTTGGTCTTTTTATAAGTAATACAGTTTTAAATTCCCTTAAAACATCTTTCTAATAAGATCCATGATTGCCCCGTGCCCAAGAAAATCTACCAAGATGATCCCTGTGGGATCCCAGAAATCAGTTTTCATGCTTTCTAAGCCAAGCTGCCTTGAATTTAATTAGCCTAGCAGATTCTCTTGGAAGTCCCTGTTTGGATTAGACCTTTGATTTGAAGATACCTTAACAATAATGAAAAGTACTAAAACCTAAAAAACAAAAACAAAACCATTGTCATCGAGTCAATTCCAATTCATAGCCACCCTGTATAGTAGGGTTTCCAACTCTCTGACTGAAGTAACTACGTCAGTATCTTGGTTGTGACATTATACTACAGTTTTACAAGATCCTATCATTGGAGAAATGGGGTAAAGAGCACACAGGATTCTCTGTATTATTTTATACAGAATGTGAATCTAACACTTTTAAGAAAAAAGCTAAAATGCAGTTAGTTGTCCATTAAATTTTAGCTTTGATTGCTAGGGCTACAGAACATTTTACTTTTCTGTATTTGTAAAATGAATATGTATATTTGTAATACAGAAAACATGACATGTACTTTTTACTTTTGAGGCTCCTGTATTACTTTTGTACTACGCAAACTTATTAAAGACGCTATTAGATAGCTATCTGCTGAGAATGTTAAGCTCATTCTTTATCATACTGTATGGTGGTGGTGGTATGGCATGGAGTCAGTTCCGATTCACAGCGACCCTGTTTCCGAGGCTGTCAATCTTTACGGGAGCAGAAAGCCTCATCTTTCTCCTGCAGAACAGCTGGTAGTTTCAAACTGAGGACTTTGAGGTTAACAGTCAGACTCATAACCACTACGCTGCCAGAGCTCCTTATTATACTGTTTAAATCAGTTGAAAGAAATATTCTTCTATTGAACTTAGATCAGTCATGTAGACAATGAGAAGTCTAATGATAAATATGAGGATAAGTCCCAAAGTACTGCTATTAGGGTTCCAGTTCATACATGTATAGGTTTATTTCAAACAAAACCTATTTCAACATGTGCCTGTGATTAGTAGATGACTCAAAACAAGTTCTCTCAGAAATACACGTGTCTTAATCTCACTAAGACACCCTCAAAAAGAAAAGTGGGGGATACTTTTTGTGCCATGGGGGAAAAAATGTCAGAGCTAAAATGCAATTTTTAATGAAATTTAAGTGGACATCCTCCCAAATCACTGAAACTTTACAAGTCTATGGGAATGCTGCTCTACATACAGCAATAATTTTTAGCTAGATCAAGCATTTTAAAGGTTAGGGAGACCTCGAAAATAAGCCAAGAGACGGAAGAACCTTTAACCTCACTGAACACAGAAACTGCTGAAGTCCCAAAAGTAGTGGAAGACTGCTGAAAGAAAGGCCACTGTGTGACCACTACTGAAGCTGCCATCTCAGGTGGTTCCCGCGATTTCCATTTGAAGTACATTTCTTGGCCTGGGAAAGCTTTCAGGTGGATGGGTGAAGGTCCACCAGCTTAGAGAGCTGGTCTTACCAGCACTTTTCTAAGCAAGATAGAAGCTAATGAAGATGATGGTACGGAATGAACTGTAAACAGGGCCAAGTCTTGTGTTTACAATACGGCCCAGAGAGCAAGGTCCAATCAACATAGTAGATTTCCTATGGACTCTACTGGGCCATTTCAATTCAAGGCAGAGAGGTCAGCCCACAAGGTCCTGGTAACTGTTTTTTGGGGATTCCAAAAGGGTAACCTTAATACATTTTCTCAAAGGACACAGGTTGTTCATTGGAGCTTTTTAAGAAGAAGTTTTTTTTATAAAAAGTGAACATTGCATTGATGAGAAAAAGACCAAGGAAATCGTGCCAAGGACTTTTCTGGCCCATCATGCCAATGCACCTGCTCATTTTTGAGAGTAGGTAGGACTGTCCTAGAAGAATTTCATTAGGGAAAGGGCGCAGGGTCTGAAACATGGCAGATGACGTGGACCAGCAACCAACTACCAATACGGTAGAGGAGCCTCCGGATCCTGTCAGCGTTAGCAAGGTTGAGTGCATTTATGTGACAATGCGAAATGATGGAGAGCTTTGAGGAAGATTACATGCTTACGATCTACATTTAAATATGATATTGGGAGATGTGGAAGAAACTGTGACTACTACAGAAATTGATGAAGAAACATATGAAGAGACATATAAATCAACAAAACAGAACATTCCAACATTCTTTGTTTGGGGAGATGGTGTTGTTCTGGTTACCCCTCCACTGAGAGTTGGCTGAAACAATGAAGGGGTCCTGTGTAGAAAAGAAGAGACTTCATACAACTACTTCTTTGAGACAGAATATATACAAAAGAGAAACTTACGTAAAATTAGATATTCAGAAATGACCAAGGGTTCTTCCACTCTTGAAATGAATTGATTTGCAAGCTCATAGGCTAAGTGACAGTTTTTCCTCCAATAAATGTAATCAAAAATAAAGAACTGATTTTGCAAAAAAGAATGTCATTAGGAAATCTTACTCCATCTGCCCACAGCCCTGATCTCACCCCTTCGGGTTTCTTTTGTTCCCCAAGCCAAAGAACATTTAGAGGGATCATGATCTGATTCCCTCAAGGATGCCAAAACTGCTGTTTTGAGGCGGTGCAAATAGAGCTTCCTAGAAAGGGTTAAAGAGATGAAAACATCACCTTCAGAGTACATACACCTACAATATGTCAAGAAACAATAGCTTCACAATGTGATATTTTTGCTTCTGTGATTTTATAGCAATGCTTTTTGATGTATCTTTATACAAAAGATACAGCACCGGAAGAGTAGAGCATTACCAGGCATTGAACTGCCAGAAGACTGTACAATATCACAGTCTGTCAGGAGCATGTGAAAGAGAAAGGTGCAGAAAAGGTGTGACCCCAAAAATAACTGCTAGGTCCTGACGAGCACAAGCATTTTCCTTCTTGTTTCTTTTCCAGTGAGCAAAAATTCAGTGACTTTTACATTCACTGCACTCTAGTAAAGGCAAAATGGGCAAAGGGCCGTGCCGCAAGTGTGAACATACAGATTGGAGCCAGCCTGGGCAAGCTCGCTGGACACGCCCATCCTCAATTTCCTGGTGCGAAGTGGGCAACATAAAAACTGTACCACCATGCTACAAGAATTAAAGAGGGCAATTTCTAAAGCACACAGCAAATACTCAAGTAATAAAGGTTAGCTATTAAAAAGGAGTCCGGGTGTGGCACTGTGGGTTAATGCGCCAGACTGCAAAGCTGTTTGAGTTGCAAGGTCGGCACAAAGCGGCTCCTTGGAAACCCTATGCAGGGTCGCCATGGGTCGGAACCGACTCCGACGGCACTTAACAACAACATTAATGTTAATACAATAATGTTGTTGTTGTTGTTGTTAAGTACCGTGGAGTCGGTTCCGACCCATGGCGAGCCTGCATAGGGTTTCTGAGGCTGTAAATCTTTATGGGAGCAGAACACCTCATCTTTCTCCCGCGGAACAGCTGGCAGTTTTGAACTAATGATCTTGAGGTTAGCAGCCCGATTCGTAACCAGTAAGCTATCAGAGCTCCTTTCATATAATAATAGAATATAATGTCTTTTATATTCCATTGACTTCTTCCTGAAATAACAATTTTATGTGCACGTTGCACTCATACCAAATAAGGTCATTTCTTATCAGCAAACTATACTTGTAATTCTTTGAAACGGAATCCTTACCTTATGATTCTCGGCATTTTCCATGGCAAAGTACGGTGGCATTGCAGTGACAATAATTCCAAGCAAAGCTGCTTGAAAATACAGCTCAACTTTAAAGACTATGTCTGTAACTTCCTGAAAGACAATCGCAAAATACGAAATGGTTCTGAGAGGAATTTTGTATCATCTTAGCACTTTCAAAATCTCTAAAGGAACAGTTAGCATACCTATCCAAGGCAGTGGATCTGAAAGAATGAGAAGTGCTTTAGCAGGCAGTGGGGGCTACAATACCAACTCGGCTACTTTTTACAAAGCTCTGTGAGTCTGACCAAATCTACTATCATTAGACCCAACCACACAGAGTCTGAAGAAGAGCAAAAATGAGGTGTGGTACTGCAGGATAAGCAATGGACCACAAGGCTGTTTCAATGCACAGTCGGCGGTTCAAATCCACCAGCCACTATGGATGGGAACAGACTCAATGGCACTAATCAACAACATATAGCTTTAAAAAAAAAAAAAGGTCCAATGTGTAAACATAGTATGTTGTGTGAGCTTAAATAGTAAGATTTTATCCAAATTGAATGAGAAATATATGTTGCAAGCTCCTTTACCACAGTTATGGATACACATGGAATCGATGTAGCTCCACAGAATAAACACTGGAATGCCAACCACAAGGTTGGTGGTTCGAGCTCACTAGCTGCTCCACTGGAGAAAGATGAGACTTTTTGCTCTGGTAAAAGATTTAAAGCCTTGGAAACCCTATACAGAGTCACTATGAGTAGAAACCGACTCCCCAGCACTTGCAAACAACATTATAAAAACATGCTTGGGAAGTATAAATTCTAAATTGTGGTGACTTCTGTGAAAGGGAAAAAGAAAGGGCCCTGGGTTGGGGTAGACGGGCCTTCATAAGTACCTTGAAAGTTTTACTAAATAAAAGCGAATGTGGCAAGAGATTAACACCTGATCCTTTAGGGGGTAGCTATATGGCTGTTTGTCTTCTGTAGGCTTGAGATAGCACCCAATTAAAAAACACACAAGGCATGATCATCAACTTGAAGGATTTCAATATCACTTATGAATCATAAGTTACTTCCTGCCCAGAAATCTCTCCAGATGCGCACATCCAAATACCTATTCGTGTCCATCGAATTCCACAAGGAAAACAGTTCAGCATGCGCACCAATGACAGATGAGCATCCATTTCATTAAAAGAAAAGAAAATCTCTCTTCCACCTGCATTCTCAAAATTGACCAATGAGATTATGATGTACCTCAATACCTCTACTAAGGTATACACATCCTTCCTTTGCTCACTGAGCAAATACAAGTGATCAAGTTATACCATTAGGATTATTTATTAAGAGAAATTGTGGCCTGATCTCTGGAACTTTCTCTCCTCCCTTCAGGCTAATTCCCCACAGGAAACCTTGCTCCATCCTGGTGCCAGTGACCTTCTACACTGTGCATTCTTGTAGGACATTTAGATCTTATATTTAGGTCCTTGATTCATTTTAATTTTTGTACAGGGTTTGAAAGTAGGAGTCCAGTTCCATATTTTGCATGTGGAAGTCCAGCTGTCTTAGTCCCACTTATTAAGCAGACTACTCTTTCCTCCATGAGTGAATTGAAACTCTTGTCGAAAATTAATTGACCATCTATGTATGTGTTTATTTTTGAGCTCTCAGTTATATTCAAATGATCTGTATGTGTATCTAGATCTCTGAGTGGGGTAAGTGGGTAAGCGCTTGACTATCAGCTGAAAAGTTGAAGGTTCTAACCCACTCAGAGGCACCATGGAGGACAAGTCTGGTAATCTGCTTCTGAAAAGTCCCATCTTTGAAAGCCCTATGGAGTACGGTTTTACTTTGCACACATGGGGTCACCAGAGCCAGAATCAACTCAAATGGCAACGAACCACCACAGCACAGAGCCTTCGTTACACAGGCAGACCTCGGCGACACTGCAGGTTCTAGACCACCGCCACAAGTGACTAGAGCAATAAAGGCAGTCCCATTGGTTGCCCAGTGCAAATGAATTCTATTTAGCACCATACTGTAGTCTATTAAGTGCCTAATAGCATCATGAAAAAGTTTCAAACATTTTGAGAATTATCAAAATGTGACCCAAAGCCACAAAGTGAGCTTCTGTTTTTGGGAACATGGCGCCAATCGACTTGCTCAGTGCAGGGTTGCCATCAACTTTCAATTTGTAAAACACGCAGCATCTGTGACACACGATAAATCAAGGCCTGCCTGTACCAGCACTGCACTGCTTTAATTAGGCAACTTTATAGTTCTTTTCTAAATCCGGAAGTGTGAGCCCTCCTCCTTTGTTCTTTTTCAAGATGGCATCGGCCAATCAGGGGACCTTGCTGTTATGTATCAATTTAAAGACTTGAGTTTTCCATTTTGGCAACAAAGGTCATTGGGATTTTTGCACTGAATCTAGAGATTGCTTTGTATGGTACTGACATCTTACAATATTAAAGATTTCCCATCCATGAACATGGAACATGTTTCTATTGACTTAGGGCTTCTTTCATTTCTTTCAGGAATGTTTTATAGACTTAGTCTTTCATCTTGCTAGTTAAATTTATTGCTACATGGTTTACTCTTTTACATGCTATTATAAGTGGCATTATTTCTCTGATTTCCTTTTCAGAACACTCACTACTAATGTATGTTGTTGTGGTGGTGGTGGTTGTAGGCTGTCTGGGTCACTTCCAACTCATAGTGACCCTGTATAGGGTTACCAAGGAGTGGCTGGTGGATTTCAACTGCCAACATTGCTGTTTATAGTCCAATGTTTATCCAACAGCTCATAGAAACCCAACTAACTTGTGTACTTGTGTATGTTGACCTTGCTAGTTTGATAACTTCATCTATTAGCTCTAGAAGCTTTCTTGGGTTTTTTGTTTGCTTTTTTTTTTTTTTTTTGGTGTCTTCTATAGAGGATCAAGTCATCTGTGCAAAGGGTGGTTTTATTTCTTCTCAGTTTGGACACCTCTTATTTCTTTTCCTTGCCTAAGTGCTCTATGAAATACAGTGTTTAATAGCAGCGATGACAGTGGGAATCCTCATCTTCTCCCTGATCTTAAGGGGGAAATTCTCAGGTTGTCTCCGTTGAGTATACTGCTAGCTGCGAGTTCTTCCATAAGTCTTCCTCTCTCATGGTGAGGAGTCCCCTTCTATTACCAGTTCCTTGAATACTTTTCACCATAAAAGTGTTGGACTTTTTGTCAATTCTGCATCCACTCGGATGATCAAGTGGTTCTCTTCCTTTGCTCTACTAATGTGGTGTATTACATCAACCCACTCCCTAATATTAATCTCTCTTGCATTCCTGGAATAAACCCCATTAGACGTAGAGTACAATCCTGTAATGTGCACTTGGATTCAGTTTGATAGGATTTCTGCACCTCCTACTCAAGTTTTAAGAAAACTAGGGGCTATTGTGAAATGGACTTCTGGAGAAGATTTCCTTTGTTACTATCAACTGATTTCTAATACATATTAAATATACTGTGTCACTGTTGTTGTAAAGTATCATCGAGTTGGTTTTGACTCACAGTGAACCTCTACAGGGTTTCCCAGGCTGTAAATCTTTGCAGGAGCAAAAAGCCTCATCTTTCTCTATGGAGTGACTGGTGAACTCAACAAGTAGACTATAGTTTGTAGTCCAGTGTGTATCCTACAGAGCTACCACAATCCCCAAAATATACTTTGTTATTGTTGCTGTTGCTAAGTGCCGTCAAGTAGGCATCTGACTCATAGCAACCCTGTACAGGGTTTCCGAGGAGCAGCTGGAGAGCGTGAACTGCCAGCCTTTCCAGCGCAGCACAGTAACCAAGAGCGCCGCAGTACATCTATACGCCGTGACGTATTGTTTCAGTTTGCTTACTTGAAAGAACGGAGTGCTCCATATCTGGATACTTTCAGTCACGTTTAAATGATAAAGATAATAATTACTAATAATGTTCATCAACACAGGTAAAGAATAAATCATAGAGGTGTTGAAAACAGCTGAAAACACATAGTCCTGCAGGAAGAGGGAGACAAGACTTATTACACACCACATAAAGATGCAAGTGGATATAAGTAAGCTGTGTACCAAGCTTTTCCTATGAAGCTAGTTCTCACCAACTGTACTGAAACCTGCTTCAACGAGTCATGCAAATACTACTATGGTTGGTAATGACAATCTGCTTGAAATGTTCACAGATGTTTACATTTTAGCTAAGAAAAACAAAATAATGTAAGAATCAAATCACATTCCTTATGGGTTTGTTATATATTGGCCATTCAGCAGGACAGAATATATAGACTGTAAATACACATAGCTGTTTACACAAGTCAATACTAATTGGTAACTTCTGAGGATTGATTTTAGAGGATCCGTTTCATTCGTTGACAACTCACAAATGGGCATTTGTGCAGGTAAACTACCCTCACTTACCTTGTCGGATGGCATCACGTTTAAAGCTGCGCTGTGCGGAGCGGCAGCTATGTAATCACTGTCATTAAAAATCGTCACCATTATGTCTTGGTTTGTGAAAAAGCTAATAAGATCACTGATATCTGAGTCTGGTATTAGGGAATAAGCAAATAAGAAAGAATCCAATTACATAAGAAACAGACATACATTGTTTAAATAAGAAACAGAAATACCTGGGAAAGGTTACGTTTTTGGAAAAGATTTCATCTTCACTAGATAAGTGAGTAAGTGCCGTGGCTCTGAAGCCAGCCAGCCTATTGGACCAGGCACACTATCTGTCACTCAACCATATTACTTGGCTATTCGGGACCTGCATTTCCTCTTTTGTAAACTGGGGCCAAAGAAAGACCATGAGGATTAAATGGTTCTATATACTCACTGGGCTCAGAATGGAATTGTACAAACAGCTACTGCTATTACTAGCCCTTAATGGTTACTATAATACTCACAGAAAAATTGGACTGGGGAGAATAAAAATCTGTTTGGCAATTTTATGTAACAAGGTAACTTGCTGAGATCAACAAGGTACCGTTCAAGGTGTGCAGTTTGTCAGCTTCACTACCTAAAGGCTGTCTGTATGCCCACATTTTCTAAATTTCTTGGACCCACAAGAAAGATTTCTAGATCCTGTCTGGGACTTAAATCTATACCAACATGTCTGATGAATAGAGGGGGTTTCTTCTCCATTATCACAAAGGCTAGGATTCAAGAAAGGACAAATGTGACACTGAGAAAACGAACCCAAATCAAATAATGCAAAACACTCTCAGTAGTAAAGGGGCACTGGGGGCGCTGTAAGATAAGGACCGGACTGTTAACTGCAAGGTCGGCAGTTCATACCCTAAGCTGACAGCCTAGGAAAACCTGGACAGGGTCACTACGAGTCAGAACCAACTCAGTGGCAATGATGTCGGTTTTGGTTTTGTCAGGAATGAAAGATCCTTGATGGTGCAGTCGTTAAAGCTCTTGGCTGCTAACAGAAAGGTTGACAGTTCAAACCCACTAGCAGTCCTGCAGGAGAACGTTGAGGCAGTCTGCCTTTGTGAAGATTACAACCTTAGAAGTCCCATGGGAACAATTCTTTCTACTGTGCCCTTCTGGGTCTCTAGGAGTGTGACTCCACTACACAGGATCACACCTGAGCATTGTAGAAGGGGATGTTTCTAGATCTAGCATGATACTGTCTTTAACCAGGCCTGATCTAATGCCTTACGTGATCTCTGTTCCCCACCTGCCAGAAGGACTGTGTATTCTGAGAGAGCTGTGTTAGAACTGAAGGACCTGAGAGAGAAGTTTCCATTGAATGCATGCCTATAATGCAGACTTAATGTATATATGCATACACCATGATCCTTAAAGGAAATGTGGCTTTACTGAAGCCATCATCCAGGCTTAGGAAAATATGGTAACATGTGTAAACAATTCTGGTGGTGGTGTGCCATGGAGTCAGCCCTGACTTATACCAACCCTGCATAGGGTTTCTGAGACTATAAATCTTCATGGGAGCAGAAAGCCTCATCTTTCTCCTACAGAACCACTGGTAGTCTCGAACTGCTAACCATGAGATTAGCAGCCCAAGTTGTAACCACAATGCTACCATACCTCATCTAATATCTTAATACTATAAAAATAGATTGAAACAGAAAACAAGAATCCTAATTTAAGAAAAGACTTCAAAACAACCCTTGTAATCCTAAAAGGCAATGGAAGAGATAAAAACTTTGAAAATGGTCAAGTTTTTGCAAACCAATGGCAGGGAACTCAAAGCATATTGTTGTTGTTAAGTGCCGTTGAGTCGGTTCCGACCCATAGCGACCCTGTACAGAGTTTCCACGGGTGTAAATCTTTTACAGGAGTAGAAAGCCTCATCTTTCTCCTGCGGAGTGGCTGGTAGTTTCAAACCACTGACCTTAAGGTTCGCAGCCTGATTCGTAACCACTACGCTACCAGAGCTGAACTATACATGGTGGTGGTTCTGTGACGTGGAGTCGGTTCTGACTTATGGCGACCCTGCATAGGGTTTCTGAGGCTGTAAATCTTTACAGGAGCAGAAAGCCTCATCGTTCTCCCACAGAATGGCTGGTAGTTTCGAACTGCTGACCTTGAGGTCAGCAGCCCTATTTGTAATGGCTACACTACCAGAGCTCCTCAAATATACATAAAAATTTCTCAAACACACAGAAAAATAATGAATAAAGGTGCTATGCAGTACCATATCTTAATCACATAAAAATGGATTAAAACAGAAAACAAGAATCCTAATTTAAGAAAAACAATATTTTCTACTCAAGAGTTATTTTCTATTAGTAAATGAATTCTTCCCCTGAAAGTATGAAGGTTGTATAATATACTAAGAGATGTTTTTATTGTCATTTGTAATTATCACTAATCTTGATTATTATTGTAACACGGGACAACTCTTCAGTAAATATTTAATCAAAAAGGAAACATACCAAAAAAAAGAAAAAAAAAAAAGGATGAAGCATTAGGAAGTGATGATCCTCAAAGAATTTGTGAGTATAATAAAAGAGAAACAGGGAAATTCAACTTTCCAATGTAATTCAGCAAGATAGAAATAAGTACTTTAGTTATGCTACAAATTTGCCAAATTTAGTAAACATTATTTTTGCCTCAAGAATCTCAGGACTATAAACTGCCTATCCAGATGGGAGATGCAGGAACAGCTGATCATGAATCAATATAATTTAATTTTAGGATTCAATGTTTTGAAAATAAGAATTCTATAGCGACTTTTGTTAAGTTATTCTGAGCTTTGTTTAAGGCCATTTTTTTTTAATGAATAACTTTAATTGTGACAATTATATAGTAAGAATTGCATCTAGAAAATCCAAATATTCATTATAAGAGGGAGCTTCAAAAAGTTCATGGAAAAATTCTATTATCACTTAGGCCATTTTTCCACCAACTTTTGAAGCCCTCATAAATGTGTTGTTATTAGATCATACATAGATGTAAGGATTATTTTTCTTAATTCTAACTCTTCACATAGTCTATGAAAGGTTTTTTCAAAAAGGATTGCTTCAACATTTCTGGTTATCATGTGCATATAAAACTTGAAAAAACTTGACACTGCAATTCTTTCTGAAAAGAGTTTTTAGTTCCTGAAGTTTATTTTACCCAATGTGAACTCTGATATAAAAAAAAAAACCACTCTGCTAAAAAAATAATTTTTGCTACCATTAAAAAGTAGTGGCCTTTTAAGGATAATAAGCAGTATCAATCAGATTAATCTATTTGAGAAACCGCCATTAACACTTAACCCAACATTTCAGTTCTGCAATACATAACGCATCATCAATAAATTGCTTCATTTAATGAAGACGTCATGTAGATTAACCAGGCCTTTACCTCAAATACTGTCTAAAATCCAATCCTGTTTCCTCCCCTCACCCTGAGACCCCAGCCAACACACATTCACAGACCTTCACACATTCTCACCAGTAGAGTTTTGAAGAAGCAGACTTGTTTTATACTTATGTGGCTGATCTCCAAGTTTTAGGAAATATAAGTCTGGGACAAGTTTGATGGGAACCACTGCATTTTTAAGAGAGTGATGCACCAGAAACATAAAAATCTGAACTGCAAAAAAAATTAAAAGCAGAAGCAACCTGAAAAGAAAAAAAAGTTAACAGCCAGTGAACATTAGCATGTATTTACATGTCAAAAAGTTATATATTCTCATTTCTCTCACAGTCAAAAGGTAATCACTGAAAAGAAAACAAACAAATGGAAAAACAAAAACAACTTTACAAAGTTTTGTCAAAGCGATGTCATGTCAATATTAGACAGAATGCCCAAGTTCAAAGACAAGATTTAAAGTTATTTTAGATGCATAGAAGAAAACAAAACTAGAGTGGAATGTTGAATGATTGGTCTCACAATCTAAGCAGATTAACCTCTGCTCTACCTCGT